GAAGCATGAAGCATGAAGCATGAAGCATGAAGCATGAAGCATGAAGCATGAAGCATGAAGCATGAAGCATGAAGCATGAAGCATGAAGCATGAAGCATGAAGCATGAAGCATGAAGCATGAAGCATGAAGCATGAAGCATGAAGCATGAAGCATGAAGCATGAAGCATGAAGCATGAAGCATGAAGCATGAAGCATGAAGCATGAAGCATGAAGCATGAAGCATGAAGCATGAAGCATGAAGCATGAAGCATGAAGCATGAAGCATGAAGCATGAAGCATGAAGCATGAAGCATGAAGCATGAAGCATGAAGCATGAAGCATGAAGCATGAAGCATGAAGCATGAAGCATGAAGCATGAAGCATGAAGCATGAAGCATGAAGCATGAAGCATGAAGCATGAAGCATGAAGCATGAAGCATGAAGCATGAAGCATGAAGCATGAAGCATGAAGCATGAAGCATGAAGCATGAAGCATGAAGCATGAAGCATGAAGCATGAAGCATGAAGCATGAAGCATGAAGCATGAAGCATGAAGCATGAAGCATGAAGCATGAAGCATGAAGCATGAAGCATGAAGCATGAAGCATGAAGCATGAAGCATGAAGCATGAAGCATGAAGCATGAAGCATGAAGCATGAAGCATGAAGCATGAAGCATGAAGCATGAAGCATGAAGCATGAAGCATGAAGCATGAAGCATGAAGCATGAAGCATGAAGCATGAAGCATGAAGCATGAAGCATGAAGCATGAAGCATGAAGCATGAAGCATGAAGCATGAAGCATGAAGCATGAAGCATGAAGCATGAAGCATGAAGCATGAAGCATGAAGCATGAAGCATGAAGCATGAAGCATGAAGCATGAAGCATGAAGCATGAAGCATGAAGCATGAAGCATGAAGCATGAAGCATGAAGCATGAAGCATGAAGCATGAAGCATGAAGCATGAAGCATGAAGCATGAAGCATGAAGCATGAAGCATGAAGCATGAAGCATGAAGCATGAAGCATGAAGCATGAAGCATGAAGCATGAAGCATGAAGCATGAAGCATGAAGCATGAAGCATGAAGCATGAAGCATGAAGCATGAAGCATGAAGCATGAAGCATGAAGCATGAAGCATGAAGCATGAAGCATGAAGCATGAAGCATGAAGCATGAAGCATGAAGCATGAAGCATGAAGCATGAAGCATGAAGCATGAAGCATGAAGCATGAAGCATGAAGCATGAAGCATGAAGCATGAAGCATGAAGCATGAAGCATGAAGCATGAAGCATGAAGCATGAAGCATGAAGCATGAAGCATGAAGCATGAAGCATGAAGCATGAAGCATGAAGCATGAAGCATGAAGCATGAAGCATGAAGCATGAAGCATGAAGCATGAAGCATGAAGCATGAAGCATGAAGCATGAAGCATGAAGCATGAAGCATGAAGCATGAAGCATGAAGCATGAAGCATGAAGCATGAAGCATGAAGCATGAAGCATGAAGCATGAAGCATGAAGCATGAAGCATGAAGCATGAAGCATGAAGCATGAAGCATGAAGCATGAAGCATGAAGCATGAAGCATGAAGCATGAAGCATGAAGCATGAAGCATGAAGCATGAAGCATGAAGCATGAAGCATGAAGCATGAAGCATGAAGCATGAAGCATGAAGCATGAAGCATGAAGCATGAAGCATGAAGCATGAAGCATGAAGCATGAAGCATGAAGCATGAAGCATGAAGCATGAAGCATGAAGCATGAAGCATGAAGCATGAAGCATGAAGCATGAAGCATGAAGCATGAAGCATGAAGCATGAAGCATGAAGCATGAAGCATGAAGCATGAAGCATGAAGCATGAAGCATGAAGCATGAAGCATGAAGCATGAAGCATGAAGCATGAAGCATGAAGCATGAAGCATGAAGCATGAAGCATGAAGCATGAAGCATGAAGCATGAAGCATGAAGCATGAAGCATGAAGCATGAAGCATGAAGCATGAAGCATGAAGCATGAAGCATGAAGCATGAAGCATGAAGCATGAAGCATGAAGCATGAAGCATGAAGCATGAAGCATGAAGCATGAAGCATGAAGCATGAAGCATGAAGCATGAAGCATGAAGCATGAAGCATGAAGCATGAAGCATGAAGCATGAAGCATGAAGCATGAAGCATGAAGCATGAAGCATGAAGCATGAAGCATGAAGCATGAAGCATGAAGCATGAAGCATGAAGCATGAAGCATGAAGCATGAAGCATGAAGCATGAAGCATGAAGCATGAAGCATGAAGCATGAAGCATGAAGCATGAAGCATGAAGCATGAAGCATGAAGCATGAAGCATGAAGCATGAAGCATGAAGCATGAAGCATGAAGCATGAAGCATGAAGCATGAAGCATGAAGCATGAAGCATGAAGCATGAAGCATGAAGCATGAAGCATGAAGCATGAAGCATGAAGCATGAAGCATGAAGCATGAAGCATGAAGCATGAAGCATGAAGCATGAAGCATGAAGCATGAAGCATGAAGCATGAAGCATGAAGCATGAAGCATGAAGCATGAAGCATGAAGCATGAAGCATGAAGCATGAAGCATGAAGCATGAAGCATGAAGCATGAAGCATGAAGCATGAAGCATGAAGCATGAAGCATGAAGCATGAAGCATGAAGCATGAAGCATGAAGCATGAAGCATGAAGCATGAAGCATGAAGCATGAAGCATGAAGCATGAAGCATGAAGCATGAAGCATGAAGCATGAAGCATGAAGCATGAAGCATGAAGCATGAAGCATGAAGCATGAAGCATGAAGCATGAAGCATGAAGCATGAAGCATGAAGCATGAAGCATGAAGCATGAAGCATGAAGCATGAAGCATGAAGCATGAAGCATGAAGCATGAAGCATGAAGCATGAAGCATGAAGCATGAAGCATGAAGCATGAAGCATGAAGCATGAAGCATGAAGCATGAAGCATGAAGCATGAAGCATGAAGCATGAAGCATGAAGCATGAAGCATGAAGCATGAAGCATGAAGCATGAAGCATGAAGCATGAAGCATGAAGCATGAAGCATGAAGCATGAAGCATGAAGCATGAAGCATGAAGCATGAAGCATGAAGCATGAAGCATGAAGCATGAAGCATGAAGCATGAAGCATGAAGCATGAAGCATGAAGCATGAAGCATGAAGCATGAAGCATGAAGCATGAAGCATGAAGCATGAAGCATGAAGCATGAAGCATGAAGCATGAAGCATGAAGCATGAAGCATGAAGCATGAAGCATGAAGCATGAAGCATGAAGCATGAAGCATGAAGCATGAAGCATGAAGCATGAAGCATGAAGCATGAAGCATGAAGCATGAAGCATGAAGCATGAAGCATGAAGCATGAAGCATGAAGCATGAAGCATGAAGCATGAAGCATGAAGCATGAAGCATGAAGCATGAAGCATGAAGCATGAAGCATGAAGCATGAAGCATGAAGCATGAAGCATGAAGCATGAAGCATGAAGCATGAAGCATGAAGCATGAAGCATGAAGCATGAAGCATGAAGCATGAAGCATGAAGCATGAAGCATGAAGCATGAAGCATGAAGCATGAAGCATGAAGCATGAAGCATGAAGCATGAAGCATGAAGCATGAAGCATGAAGCATGAAGCATGAAGCATGAAGCATGAAGCATGAAGCATGAAGCATGAAGCATGAAGCATGAAGCATGAAGCATGAAGCATGAAGCATGAAGCATGAAGCATGAAGCATGAAGCATGAAGCATGAAGCATGAAGCATGAAGCATGAAGCATGAAGCATGAAGCATGAAGCATGAAGCATGAAGCATGAAGCATGAAGCATGAAGCATGAAGCATGAAGCATGAAGCATGAAGCATGAAGCATGAAGCATGAAGCATGAAGCATGAAGCATGAAGCATGAAGCATGAAGCATGAAGCATGAAGCATGAAGCATGAAGCATGAAGCATGAAGCATGAAGCATGAAGCATGAAGCATGAAGCATGAAGCATGAAGCATGAAGCATGAAGCATGAAGCATGAAGCATGAAGCATGAAGCATGAAGCATGAAGCATGAAGCATGAAGCATGAAGCATGAAGCATGAAGCATGAAGCATGAAGCATGAAGCATGAAGCATGAAGCATGAAGCATGAAGCATGAAGCATGAAGCATGAAGCATGAAGCATGAAGCATGAAGCATGAAGCATGAAGCATGAAGCATGAAGCATGAAGCATGAAGCATGAAGCATGAAGCATGAAGCATGAAGCATGAAGCATGAAGCATGAAGCATGAAGCATGAAGCATGAAGCATGAAGCATGAAGCATGAAGCATGAAGCATGAAGCATGAAGCATGAAGCATGAAGCATGAAGCATGAAGCATGAAGCATGAAGCATGAAGCATGAAGCATGAAGCATGAAGCATGAAGCATGAAGCATGAAGCATGAAGCATGAAGCATGAAGCATGAAGCATGAAGCATGAAGCATGAAGCATGAAGCATGAAGCATGAAGCATGAAGCATGAAGCATGAAGCATGAAGCATGAAGCATGAAGCATGAAGCATGAAGCATGAAGCATGAAGCATGAAGCATGAAGCATGAAGCATGAAGCATGAAGCATGAAGCATGAAGCATGAAGCATGAAGCATGAAGCATGAAGCATGAAGCATGAAGCATGAAGCATGAAGCATGAAGCATGAAGCATGAAGCATGAAGCATGAAGCATGAAGCATGAAGCATGAAGCATTCTGTGCCTGTTCCAGCATATATTTCACTTCACATATGTTATTCCACGCCCATGTTTCATCATGCCCATGTTTCACCATGCCCATGCTTCACCGTTTTTATGCTTCACCATGCCAAGCTCTCTGTGCCTGCGTGCCCTGCCTTTCATACTTAACGTGCAAGAAAACTTCCATTTGCTTCTGCCACTGCATCTGCTCCTTGCATGGATGCTCACTGGCTAATAGCACCTTACACCACCCTGTTGCACCGCATTGCACCGCACCGTGCAGGCAGCATTGGATCATCTACTGGCGCGGGACGACATAGATGTGGACCGCATTGTGGTGTTTGGCCGCTCGCTGGGAGGGGCGGTGGGGGCTGATTTGGTCCACCGCAACCCCAACAAGGTGAGCTCAGTTGAGTCGATTTGAAGCGCGGGCTGCTGCTCATTGTCGTGGCAAGCTGGCCTTTGCCTTACTCTCCAACCTCTTTGGCCTCTAAAAGTGGTGCCCCTGGCCTTCGCTCTCTCCCCTCCCCCTCCATCAGGTGGCAGCGCTGGTGGTGGAGAACACGTTCACATCGGTGCTGGACATGGCGGGGGTGGTGCTGCCCGTGCTGAGCAACCTGCTCTCCACCAAGGGCGTGCGGCCTCTCAACGGGCTCGTGCGCTCGCAGTGGCGCACCATAGACGTGATCAGCAAGGTGAGAGTCGCACACACAAGTAAGTGCGCGATCAGTGTGCATTTGTGCATGTGCGCATGTGTGCATGTGTGCATGTGTGCATATGTGCATGCGTGCATGTGCGCATGCGTGCATGTGTGCATGTGCGCATGCGTGCATGTGTGTATGTGCGTATGTGTGCATGTGTGCATGTGCGCATGTGCGCATGTGTGGATGTGCGCACATGCACGGGCTCATGAGGTGGATGTGCGCACATGCACGGGCTCATGAGGTCACACCATGGCAATCACACATGTGCGCGCTGGGCGGGCCACGCAACGGGTTCATCAGGTCGCAGTGGCGCACGATTGCCATGATTCCAAAGGTGAAATTTCCTTACACATGTGTAAGTGTTCACTTTGGGAGGCCCTTACTATCCGTGCTGAGAGGCCTGCTGTCAAACAAGGGTGTCCAATCAGATCCCTTAACAAGTGCAAGTGAGGTGGCAAGTGACAAATAATCGACACGATCCGCAAGGTGATCGGCATTGGTTAACACACCCATTGTGGTTTTGATTCGGAGAGATGGAAACGCATTCCGTTGCCACATCACATCACATGCACGCTCCTTCCGCACAGGTCCGCGATCCATCCTCGTTTTGGGAAGCTCTCAACATCCCTCCACCCTTCCTGTGCTCCTTCCCCACAACCCCACCCAGACACCCATTGTTCTTCTCTCCAGCCTTCTCACAAGCAAAGAACGAGCCGTGCCTCCCTGCTTTTCTAGAATTTGTTTTCCATCATTTGTATCCCAAATTTTGTTCATAATTCCCCACAGATCGACACCCCCATTTTGTTCCTATCGGGAGCAAAGGACGAGCTCGTGCCGCCCACTCACATGCGCCAGCTGTACGCGGCGGCGCAGCGGAACCCAGGTGGCAGCTCTCTATTCGTGGAGGTGGCAGCGGGGGGGCACATGGACACATGGCTGCGGGGAGGGCAGCGCTACTGGCGTGTGCTGAGTCTGTTTATAACGCATCATGCTGGAGGGGGTGTGGGGGGAGGCGTGGGGGATGGGTTTGGGGAGAGGGGAGGGAAGGAGGAGCTGATAGAGGAGTTGAGTGAGGTGGTGAGGGAATCAGCGGGCGAGCTGACACTGAGAAGAGTGGGGGATGGTGCCAAGATGTGAGCATGGGTAGCTGCAGCAAGGGAAGCCCAGCCAGACACATAGGCACATCAGGCACATGGCTGAGGCGAGGTGAACAGTGTGAGCTGCTGAGGAACATGGGCTTGTGCGTTGTGTGAGAGGATGACAGTCATAGGAATGGGCAGTTGCACCAAGGAGAGGCTTGCAGAACAGCAGTCGGGGCTGAGGGATGCCCTTGGAACTGTGCTTGAGTGGGGGAGGAAAGCAGGCAGCGTGAGAAGCATATGGTTCGGCCAGGTGCTGCCCATCACCCCCTCCTCGTTCTGTTTGACAAACGTCTACATGATCCAATGTTGGCAAAATATTATTCTTTCTCCGAATCATTATTCTACTGTACGTTACGATTCTTACAAGTTACGTTGGGCCGAGATGACCCCAAACTTACGGTCTCGTCTGTAGATCCCACTGGCCCCCAAACGTGTTCAGGAGTCTTATCAATATGCCCCATTGGTATTGTCCACCCAATTAATTTTCACATCAGTAATTTTATTCTTTGGTCTAATTTACTAAAATGTTCCTAAGGAAACACAGCCATAAGGTTCACTAATAAACCCCCCATACATCCGTTCCAGCAAATAGAAGTTGTACCAAGTGTACTCAAAACACTACCGTGACTAAAACCAAGGGTCGTCAATACCGTACATACCAATTCGCTGTTCCAAAACTTCAACGCTACCATCCGACGAACCATCATCATCATCATCATCAAAATCGCGATAGTGTTCAACCTCGTACCAAGGATCATCCCCGCTATAGGTTGTGCGAGGTGATTTGTACACTCCAAACAAGTGACCCTGCCATATGAAATATGAGAAGGTTATTTCCACATCATAAAGCGAGTGAATGAAGGCAGCACAAGCAAATAACAAAAAAGCAGAAACATGTGAGCTGTCTGATTGATGTTCGCGGAAGAACCTGGGTGCAGATGAAGCAGCACACATCATCCTCGCTGCAACCCAATGCAATGTGAGCCGTTGGATTTAACAGAGCAGTGGCGTTCCATGCCTGCCAGCAACGTCCATGCAGCATGGCACATGGAAATTAAAAAAGTTTGAAGTTTGTGATTGACACGATGGAAAAAAGAAGTCCACGGTTGGAGATGACACTCCATTCAGAAACATCACAATGTCTGAATGGTATAGCATGTCATTCTATGATCACATTACCTGATCATGGCAGAAAGGGCATGTATTCGGAGAAAACGGCTGGCCTTGAAGCAGCCAGTGGAAGCTGCAGACGGGAATTGGGGGAGAGGGATGGGAGGCCACATGCACCTGCTTTTAACTGTGCAGCCTGTGCCATGGGTTGGAACAACATGCATCCAGATCGTCAAATGGAAGCACGAAACTGGCGCTGTCTGGTGGGCCATCCCACTATTTATCCACTCCTCTCAAACACTCACCCCAACAACCATGCACCCATGCACCTAAGCACATCAGTAAGCCATACCGTGAGTGCTTGAACCCAGCAATCGCTCCCTGCAGCACACAACAAGGCTCTCCCGCAACCGAGTGCTCCCACCCACACCTCCTTGTGGGCATCAACACTGCTGCGCGTTCCTGCGCCCCTTCCCCTACTCCTTCCTCACTTTCTCCCCCCTCCTCTCCACCCCCCCGCGAGGGGCGTGGGAAGGGAGTGGACAGGGGAATGGGTGAGACGTGGAATGTGTACGAGGTGGAATCAGGGGCGCGGGGAGGAACAAGCGATGAGGAGGAGGAAGGGGCAGGAAGGAAGCATTCTGAGACAAAAATTTGAGCGGCGAGGTCGCAACAGAGGGCCCAGCATTCATCAATATGAGGATCGACGGGTGGAGGAGAGGCAGCAGTGGGTGCAGTGAGCGGCGTGGTGGGCGTAGCGGCTCTGGGGTGATCCGTGGGAGACACGATTGCACCGCGTGCTGTAGGCGAACCTGCCGCGCCATTGCAGCCCCCACTCGCTGCGCTGCCACCGTTGCCGGCCTCTCCGACCCATTCCGTTCCGCCTTCGACAGAGGAGGCACCGCTGCCACTCGCTGCACGCATGCCGCTCTCATCCACCACGCTCCAGCGACCCGTCTCCCCCGGCCCGAATAACGGCGCCGCGTTCACTCGCAGCGCGATGGAGCAGGCGTGCGCCACGCCAGGGCAAGCGCTCATGCACCGCGCCAGGCTAATCGCCGCATTTTGCGGGGCGTCGGCGCTGCTCGCCTCGCGCACAAGGCGCTCCACCGCCGCCGCTACCGCCGCCACCTCGCTCTCTTTGGCAAAACCCGTGGCGCGTGCGAGGCAGTAACGGGGCCACAGCTCCGACCGGGCGACATGAGCGAAGGCGCGAGAGACGGACGCGAGTTGCGCGATGGTGAAAAGAAGATCGCCGGTGGCGTCCGCCACGCGGAACAACACCGGCCCGTCTAACGCATCCATGCTTGAGCGATTAATCTGACAAGAGACTGTTACAGGCCCTGAGAGCGCTTATCCCGTAATGAAACCCGCCCAGTGCATGTCTGGGCGTCTCTGCTCCCTGTGCGTAGGCAGGCCCCCATGTAAGGGGAACATTTATGCTTGCTGCACCACTCCGAACCGCTACTCAACTGGGTGGACATTCATGCATGAACGCCTTCCATGCGAGCGGGAAATGCGAACTTGTAGGTAGACGCATGTCGAGAAAAACTTGTCCATTCGATGATGCTCGAATCCAGATACACTCTATCATAACACGCGCTATCATGCAACGAGGAATTCAGTTACGACTGTGGAAATACATGAGTTGACAATTTGTTTTGCTTGCAGAATTTTACAAATCGTGACTGACACGGCTGTATTGTTGTTTTCTAGTTTCGATTAAATGTGGCAAATATGATGGAAGGGCTGATTATTCAATGACGACAGGCATGTACCGTATAACAGACGAACACACACAATTGTCAACACACATTTGTGTAGTTGCATGTGTATTGTGTAGTGTACGCTAGGTTGAGCTGTGTTCGACAGGGTTTGGGTTGCTAGATATACCACCCAAGCCCCACGGACAATCCTAGCGCATACGAGTGTGTACGCTCCTCACCCCAAGACACAAGTGTAGCCCTCCTTCCTCCAGCACATACGGTACGAATGAATGCCCCTGCCCACCCCAGCGCATTCGAGTGTATGCCTTTCCACCCCGCAAATACGAGTGCACCCCTCACCCCACTTGAGCAGGGTGACATGGCATCACATGAGGGCACAGGCGGAGGATGAGCGGGGGGGCTGCGCGGGCATGGGGGCCGCGTGGGGTGCGTTGACAGGGTGGTGGAACTCGTTAGTGTCTAGCCCGTACTGGTGGGGGGGGGGGGAGGGTGGCAGGTGGGTGAGAGATTGAGAGAGTGACAGGCACAAGCAGGGACAGGCACATACATCACTACAGGGAAATGTGTGTGGTAGCCTCAGCCCTATACTAAGGCCCTTGCATGCAGCCCGGGCTGCTAGGGCGGGTTGACAGGGTGGTGGACCTTGCTTGAGTCCACCCGTCCCATACTGATGGATTGGGAGAGCGGAGGCGGTGGGTGCGAGGGACAGTGGCAGGGGGGAGCGGATGGAGGCAAGGCGGGGAGATGGGGTTGGTGGCAGGTGATGGAGAGAGTAAGGGCAGAAGCAGAGGCAGGAATATGCGGCCCTAGACCCCCTCCACTTGGTTGTCCACTGGAAGAGCCTCTTCCACCTACCAGACCCTACGTTCCCAGCATAGCAACAAGCATGTCGTGCACTCGGTACGACTGCCACCATGACCTCCACTCACTCGCACGCCTTCCTTTCTCCTCCATGCAGAGGTGCGCGCAGTAGTTCCACGTTAGATCTGCGCTGGCGTACAAAACGCAATATGCATATTTTCCAACACAGCCCCCAACCCCCATCTCCCATCCCCCCATCTCCCATCCCCCCATCCCCCATCTCCCATCCCCCCAACCCCCATCTCCCATCCCCCCAACCCCCATCCCCCAACTCCATCCCCCCATCCCCCATCCCCCATGCCCCATGCCCCGTCCCCCGTCCCCCATCCCCATCGCACCTTCTCCAAAATGCGGTTCCGCCAAGCATCTGACAGCGCTGCTGCTCCTCCTTCCCCTCCCCCTGCTGCTGCTGCACCGTCTGCTGCTCCCCCCGCACCCACGCCACCCGCACCACTCCCACCCACACCACCAGCAGCAGCGTCAGCTGATGACGAGGGGACGGCGGCGGAGTAGGGGGGAAGGGGCGCCATGTGGGGCGGGCGCAGGAGCGGTTGGCGCAGGCGCGAGTTGGGGTGCGGGTGGGGGGGAATGTAGTCATCGTCGTCATCTGCCAGTGCATTGTTGCTGTGCACGGCCCTCAGCATCATGGCCAGCAGCAGCGCCGTGCCCTGATGGAGGAGGAGAGAGGGGGGGGGGAGGGGGGAGGAGGGGAGGGAAGAGTGGGGTGGGAAGGGGGAGGGGAGGGGGGGGGGGGGGGGGGGGGGTTGTTGCTGTAGGCCAGTGCGGCATCGCTGTGCATGGCCCTCAGCATCATGGCCAGCAGCAGTGCCATGCCCTGATGGGGTGCAATGGGGAGAGTGGAGGGTGATAAGAGGGGTGGTGGGGGGCGAGGACAAGGGGGTTGCAAAGATGGCAGCAGCGAGGCAGCAGCAAAGGGTAGGAAGGTTGCACAGAGGAAGAATGAAGCCCCTGACGAGTGAGCTTTGATTGTTTTGTGAGAGGACGCAACTAGTGAAGGAAAATGTGGCAATGGCACTGGGCTTGGCTTGGAGTGCCGGAGTGGCTACGCAAAAAATGGCATGTCAGGAGGGGGGTCAGCGCACCCACGGCCTCCCAGCCATTCTGCTTGTAACCTCTCTGGCCAAACCCAGAACCAATCTCAGAGTCCTTCACACACCCCCTTCATTGGGAGACGCCTCTCACAGAGGAAGGAAAAATTGCTCTTCACTCTATGGCAGCGGCCTGTTGCAGTGCAACGCCTGAGATTGAACCTTGACCTTGAGATTGGACAAGGACTCAATTCGAAGCATTTTGTGTGTTTCCACAGTCCCTACAAACTGCTGCTGGGCACGAAATCTTGAGCGTGCCACATGTGATCATTCACTCACTATCCTGCACGCCTAAAAGGCTAGGCCTACCTCCCAGCCGATCCCACCGCTGTGCTTGCTTCTTTTCCTCACTTACTCCCGCTTGCGACACTCGCCTCACCTCAACGAGCAGCAGGCTGACGGCCGCGAGGCGGCAGACGTCGAGGTTGCGCAGCACAAACGCCCTCTCCCTCTCGTACTCGCCCGTGAGGTCCTCTGGCACGTCCTGGTGCACGCGAGGCGAGGGGCGAGGGGGCGAGGGGTAAGGGGGCGAGAAGGTTGGGGTGAAGGGACTCGGCGAATGGCGCAGCTTGGAAGGTCGAGGCTGCGCAGCACAAACGCCCTCTCCCTCTCAAACTCGCCTGTGGTGTCCTCTGGCACGTCCTGGTGCACGCGAGGCGAGGGGCGAGGGGAGACGGGAGACGGGAGAGGGGAGAGGGGAGAGGGGGCGAGGGGCGAGGGGCGAGGGGCGAGGGGCGAGGGAGGAGGGGAGTGGGGCGAGGGATGAGAGAAGAGGGAAGCGGGGCGAGGGGAGAGCGAAGAGGGGTGGTGACGTGCAAGGGGCCTCCAGCACGTCGTGGTGCACACAGTGGCGCAGGGCGAGGGCAAGGGTGGGGGCCGAGGGTCGAGGTGCGAGGGGAGAGGGTGTTTACCAGGGTTACACTAGGTTTGATTGGAAGGGTGTTACATGTTGAAGGTGGTTACCAGGTTACATGCAAACAGTGTTAACGAGGTTACACGCAAGGTGTGGCTACATGCAAGAGGTGGTTACATGCAAGGGGTGGTTACGTTACCAGGTTACCCTGCGAGGGGTGGTTACCAGGTTACATGCAAGGGGTGGTTATCACCAGGTTACATGCAAGGGGTGGTTACCACCAGGTTACATGCAAGGGGTTACATGCAAGAAGAGGTTACCTGAAGCCAGACGAGCGCAGCGAGGGATCCTTGAATGAGCAGCAGCACACACAGGCCGAACTGGTACTGTGGGGTGCAAGGAATGTGGGGCGGGAGGAGCACAGACGAAAGGAGTGGAATGGAAACACAAAAGCATCACATGGTTGGTGAACAGACAGGATGATTAGTGTTACGGCGGGATTGGGTCAGTTGTCGCTTTAGGCTGCTGCGTTACCCCCTCGTCCCCTCTTGACTTACTGCTCCCCGGTGCATTTTACGCCTTGTTGCCACTCCACTCCACTCCACTCCACTCAACCACATAGTACACCATCCGCTGCCCTCTCAACCTTACGCACCCGTGCATGTTCATGGCTCCTGGCTCTTTCAGAGCCATTTTCGGGTAAAAAGAAGAGGCTACAAGCAGGAGACACGGCTGCATTGAAGCGACTCGGTTGCGAGCAGCGAGGCAGCAGGCAGTGCCGTGCCATGGCATGGCATGGCATGGCATGGCATGGCAGAGCAATGCGCACATAGAGCAAGCGAAGCTATGCACATGACAAGCAAGGCAGCAGCGCAGGGACGCACGCATGAGAGGCAGCAGGCGTTGTTGCTCTCTGCCGCCACGGCGCCCACGATGGTCACCAGCGTCAGCAGCGCGCCCAACCCCACCAACACGTAGATGAACCTGTGAGAGGGGGGGAGGGAAAGGGGCGGGGTTGGGCGGGCAGGGGTAGGAAAGTGGGGCAAGCGGCCGGTTCAAATGGGGGCAGCAGAGGCAGTGAGGCGAATAAGATAGAAGGAAGGCGAGTGCGAACACGCAGTGAAGGATGAGCCTGGCAGATCGATGAACACACGGCAAGGGGCGGGAAGGGAGGGAGGGGGGAGGGGGACGGCGGGAGGGGGATGGGAAAGGACAGAAGGCAGAGGGGAGAGGGCAGCGGGGAGAGGGCAGCGGGAAGAGGGCAGCGGGGAGGAAGGGGGTGCAAGCGCGGTACCAGAGGTAGGGCAAGAGCAGCTCGTTGCTGGTCGCCCCCAACTGCCTCCTGCCGCCCACGCTGCCCGCACTGCTGCGGCTGCTGCTGCTGCCGCTGCTGAGAGGTGAGGCATCACGCGGCGGAGAGGATGGGCGGATGGAGGCGGGGGCGAGGGGCGAGGCGGAGGAGAGGGACGGGGGAGAGGGCGAGGGGGAGGGGGAGGGAGAAGGGGGGCTGGGTGGATGGAGGTCGGGGTCGAGGTGAACGAGGCGGGAGAGGGAGTACACAATCAGAAGTACCCCCACGATGGCGAGGGCGAAGTTGAAGAGCTTCAGCAGACACTGCAGGAAGCCCCGACACGCCATGGCTGCTGCTGCTGCTGCTGCTGCTGGTGTTGCTGCTGCTAGTGTTGGTGGTGGGGGGAAGCGGGCACGGGGGGCGCACAAATGGGGCCGAACGAAACGGGGAGAAAGGGCACGTGAAACAGATTCAGCTCATTGCAGTGCTGGTATGGTGTGGTGCGGTGTCGTGTGGTTCGTGGTGGTGCGCGGGGGTGGGTGGACGTGAATGACGCAATGCTGTGTGGACGACCACTGCGCGCCAAGCTGATCCAGCCATGCACCTGTGGGGTGTGCATGGCACGTGCACGAGCGAGCGAGCATGAGCATGAGCGTGAGCATGAGCATGAACAGGAGGAGCATGAGCGAGGGGACGGATTGGCATGGCACGTGGTGGGAGGCTAAGGGGACCGGTGCATTGGGGAAATGGAGCGGAGGGGCGGGGAGGCGGGGAGGGAAAGGAAAGAGGGAGAGAAGAGAGAGAGCACGGAGCGAGTGAGGGCCAGGGAGCAGAGGGGATGGGCGGCGAAGCACGCGAGAGGCGAAAATTGGTTCTTTCAAAGGGCGCCGGAGCGGCGATGAGCAACGCATGGCAGCAACGAGACCCCGCGACCAACGGTACTGCCGGGGCTGGCCGCGCAGTGACGCGACACGGAGGGATCGATCCCACTCGACCGCAGCGGACGGAATGAGCGCGCGGAGCGGCGGGCTGGTGGGGGCAAGCTTCGCGGCTCGACTTGCCTATTTCTCAATCGCTTACAACTCTCGCGCGCGATGGCGAGTCGCTTCCAGCTGGACGGAGGAGAGACGAGGAGGGAGGAGGACCCGAACGAACATACCTGGAATGAGATGATTCGAGCTCGGGGGAATCGGACAGCGTGCAAAAAGTATACCAAAAAGTGGCGAAGAAATAAACTGTGCGCGACGTCTTGCGCGTTGAAGGGCGCACTAACGCGGGAACGGCCTTCCTATGCCGTGTTTGCTACGCGAGTGTAAGGCAAGGGATCAAGCTGCATAGTCGCTTCCGCTGACAAGTCGCGATGAATGCGATTATGCGACGACGATGATTAGAGAATGGGGGTTTGCGTTGGATGGGTGATTCTGCGGTCTCAATCCTGAGCAGCAATGTGTGCGACGCTGGGCGAGAATCAATTGAGCTCTGCGAAAGGTACTGGTTGGGGCGATCGGGAAGTCGCGAGCGAGATTCGCGAGGTTGGGGAACTGCTAAACGAAATTCATAAATGTTAGGATTCGAAAAGAATCAGGTAACCGGTGTTCTCGTGACTTCAAACACAGCAGATTTGAAACTGGATCTGGGTCGCGTGACACCACACCACTCGCGCGAATTCTCATGCGCAAGCACCTCTTTCCGCACCGCACACCCGCCTGTTCCTGACTGCACGAGCACACGAGGTCGAGCAATGACGTTCGATTGAAGAGTCAAAGTCCTTGCACTTTCGCGCGCAATCACCGCCGCCGTACGCGCTCTCCCCGCTTCACGCGCACGGGCCATGGCTTCCCCTCTGCGCCTCTCGCCCGCGCTGCTTCGACCGTCTCCACTCCCCGGGTAACGCACCTTCCGCACTCGCAACTTCCGCGCTCGCGCCTTCCGCACTCGCAACTTCCGCGCTCGCGCCTTCCGCACTCGCAACTTCCGCGCTCGCGCCTTCCGCGCTCGCGCCTTCCGCACTCGCGCCTTCCGCACTCGCGCCTTCCGCGCGAGAATTGTCGACAAAACCAACCTCGATACAACCGGGAGCACGAATGCGGAGCGTGCGGCTGTGCACTCCCTCTAGAGTAATCCTTTGATAAGCCGGCCCCTGTCCCCTCTTCCTGTCCTCCCCCTCCCCCGTACCGCCAGGGAAATCCACCTCTGGTGCGTCAAACTCCCTCCTCCTCCGCGCACTCCGCGAAATCCTCTTCCTCCGCTTTCGCCGATCCCTCCCTGCTCGCCTCCTATTGGTCGCTGCTGAGTCAGCAGGAAAAGCACCGAATCGTATCTTCGCCGCCACATCAGCAGCACGCAGCCGCCACGCTGCCATCCCCTCGCCAACTGGCGGACGCCTATTGGCTGAGCGGCGGCGACGCGTCCGCGCCGTCCCCATCGCTCCCCTGGCCGCTGTCCCCCGCGCAGCTGCAGCAGCTGCTCACGCGCGCCCTCGTGCGCGTCTCGCTCGCCCGCTGTGAGTCGCTCGCCCGCTGTGAGTCGCTCGCCCGCTGTGAGTCGTGCTTGCGCGGGCTGCTTGGGACGCGCGCTGGGTCCTCACTGGGGCTGTGCGGCACTGGGGCTGTGCGGCACTGGAATGGAAGCACCTCTCAACGGCCGCTTTGTTGGCATGCATGCGCGATGCACCACGTGTGACCCACGTGTGACCCACGTGCTGAACCAACTATGTACTCACTCACGCACTCTCGCACTCACCACACTACTCACTCATCAACTCATAGTCCTCATTCCCTCCTCCCTCCCCTCCCCTCCCCTCCCCTCCCCTCCCCTCCCATCCCCCCCCCAACCTCCCCTCCCTCCCCTCCTCCTCCTCCCTCCCATCCCCTCCCCTCCCTCCCCCCGACCCCCAGACCTGGAGGGGCGGGTGCACCCGGGGGACATTCTCTTCCGCGCCAACCCCTGGGGCAAGCCGCAGGTGGGATGGGGCAAGCCGCAGGTGGGATGGGGCAAGCCGCAGGTGGGATGGGGCAAGCCGCAGGTGGGATGGGGCAAGCCGCAGGTGGGATGGGGCAAGCCGCAGGTGGGATGGGGCAAGCCGCAGGTGGGATGGGGCAAGCCGCAGGTGGGATGGGGCAAGCCGCAGGTGGGATGGGGCAAGCCGCAGGTGGGATGGGGCAAGCCGCAGGTGGGATGGGGCAAGCCGCAGGTGGGATGGGGCAAGCCGCAGGTGGGATGGGGCAAGCCGCAGGTGGGATGGGGCAAGCCGCAGGTGGGATGGGGCAAGCCGCAGGTGGGATGGGGCAAGCCGCAGGTGGGATGGGGCAAGCCGCAGGTGGGATGGGGCAAGCCGCAGGTGGGATGGGGCAAGCCGCAGGTGGGATGGGGCAAGCCGCAGGTGGGATGGGGCAAGCCGCAGGTGGGATGGGGCAAGCCGCAGGTGGGATGGGGCAAGCCGCAGGTGGGATGGGGCAAGCCGCAGGTGGGATGGGGCAAGCCGCAGGTGGGATGGGGCAAGCCGCAGGTGGGATGGGGCAAGCCGCAGGTGGGATGGGGGGCAAGCCGCAGGTGGGATGGGGGGCAAGCCGCAGGTGGGATGGGGCAAGCCGCAGGTGGGATGGGGCAAGCCGCAGGTGGGATGGGGCAAGCCGCAGGTGGGATGGGGCAAGCCGCAGGTGGGATGGGCAAGCCGCAGGTGGGATGGGGCAAGCCGCAGGTGGGATGGGGCAAGCCGCAGGTGGGATGGGGCAAGCCGCAGGTGGGATGGGGCAAGCCGCAGGTGGGATGGGGCAAGCCGCAGGTGGGATGGGGCAAGCCGCAGGTGGGATGGGGGGCAAGCCGCAGTTGGGATGGGGCAAGCCGCAGGTGGGATGGGGCAAGCCGCAGGTGGGATGGGGGGCAAGCCGCAGGTGGGATGGGGGGCAAGCCGCAGGTGGGATGGGGGGCAAGCCGCAGGTGGGATGGGGGGCAAGGCGCAGGTGGGGAGGTGTGGTGGGGGAAAGGCAAAGGCGAGCGGGAAGAAGCAGCAGTGAGGGGAAGCCGTGCGAGGGAGCAGCAGTGCAGTGCATGGGATGGGATGCAGAGCACGGGGGGGAGGAGGGGAAGGAGTGAGGCGAGAGCAGCAGGCTGTGGTGCGGGTGGGGGTGGGGGTGGGGGTGGGGGTGAGCACCAGGCTGCAGGTGAGGCGGGCGCACCGGGTAGGAGGAATGGCAGTGGGGCACACAGGGTTGGCGATGGGGCACACAGGGTTGGCGATGGGGTGGGCACGATTGGAAGCTTAAACTTCACAACGTACTCCTCCCCACCAACTCCTCCCCCCCAACTCCTTCCCCCCCAACTCCTCCCCCCCAACTCCTCCCCCCCAACTCCTCCCCCCCAACTCCTCCCCCCCAACTCCTCCCCCCCAACTCCTCCCCCCCAACTCCTACCCCTCTCCTCCCCCACAATCCCCCCCCCCCCCAACTCCCCCCTCCCCCAAACTCCTCCCCCCAACTCTCCCCCCACCACCCCAGCCCTTCCGCGTGCTGGTTGTTCTCTTCTTCTTCGCCCTGCTGCCACGTGCTCTCATTCTCAACCTCGCAGTCAGCTCCCTCCTGCCTTTTCTAAGCCCACTCCTGCCTTTTCTAAGCCCACTCCTGCCTTTTCTAGGCCCACTCCTGCCTTTTCTAAGCTCCCTCCTGCCTTTTCTAACTCCGCCATCCCTGTCCGTGTCCCCCTCATCCCCCACCAGGTGTGCTGGGCCTCCACCTTCAACCCCGCCTCGCCCAACCCTCCTACCCAACCCTCGCGGCAGCAGCCGCAGCAGCAGTATGGCCAGGAGGGGGCAAAGGCGGGCGTATCACAGGACTGCCGGGGCAGCAAAGCAGCAGGGCAGCCATCCGTGTGGGCGGATGGGGTACGCGCTCCCTTGGGGTGGCAGCATGAGGAAGCTTCTCAAGCCGCTGAGGGCAGGGAGTGCAGCAGTAAGAGTGCCGGTGACATGGCCAGCGGGAGCAGCAGGAGTGATCTTGACAGCCGCACTGACCACTCTTGCACAACCAGCAGCCACAGCAGCATTAGCCCGGGCGACAGCAGCAGGAGCAGCAGCAGCAGCAGCAGCCCGGGCGACAGCAGCAGCGGGGCAGTTTCTTTGCATTTCAACGTGAGCCACACGGAGGGCCTCATCGCCCTGGCAGTGACCTCCGCCATGCCCGTAGGGGTGGACGTGGAGGCCGCTGCCCGCTGCCCTCGCAGGGGCGTGCTGGCTGTCGCGAGAAGCCGGTTTGCAGCGGAGGAGGCGGCGTGGGTGGGCGCGGGGCAAGATGAGTCGGAGCGGCAGCGGCGGTTCGTTCACCTGTGGACGCTCAAGGTGAGAGAGAGGGGAGGTGAGAAGAGAGGGGAAGGGGAGAGGAGGGGAAGGGGAGAGGAGGGGAAAAGTTAGAGGAGGGTAAAAGGGAGAGGAGGGTAAGGGGAGATGGGGGGGAAGGTTGCAGGCTGCCCTGCCTGTGGCTCAGTGCTTGCTTTCTTTTTCTTCCATTTCACCCCCCTCTGGAAACAACTCCTCTTAGCTCCTCTGCCCCCCTACCTCCCATTTCCCCCTTCCACGGTCCTACCACCCCCCGCCCTCCCCTCATGCTTTGCCCCCTACTGTGTGTGCTGTCTCGCTCCGCACGGGTCCGTGCCGGCCAGGAGGCGTACGTGAAGGCGCAAGGGAGGGGCATGAACGCGCTGCCCTTCCGCTCCTTCGCCTTCCGCCTCTCACCATCGCACCAAGCTGCCCTCGCCCTCACCCACGCCCTCGCTCCCCCTCGCCGCACCCACCAGGTCAGCATGCGTCCCCGCCCCCCTGCACCTCGTCCTCTCCCTGGTGGAATGTATAAGTTAAGGCAATAGTCGCATGGAAGCATGTGCTCATGTGGAAGCATGTGCTCATGTGGAAGCATGTGCTCATGTGGAAGCATGTGCTCATGTGGAAGCATGTGCTCATGTGGAAGCATGTGCCCATGTGGAAGCATGTGCTCATGTGGAAGCATGTGCGCATGTGGAAGCATGTGCGCATGTGGAAGCATGTGTGCATGTGGAAGCTTGTGCTCATGTGGAAGCTTGTGCTCATGTGGAAGCTTGTGCTCATGTGGAAGCATGTGCTCATGCTCTTTGTTAAATGACCCACAAGCCGCATGCAAACGGGATCCCTCTCTCAACCCCCACTCGCACCCACAGGCGTGGGCCATCGGCCTCACCCATCACGCCACCCTCGCCCCTCCGCCACTCACCTGCGATCAGCCAGCCCCAGACGCCTCCCCTGCCACTCACTCCTCTCATGCCTCGTCGCAAGATATGCTCGCCTGTGATGCTGACATGGCACGACCAGAGAGCGCCACATGGCGCAGCATGCTTGTCCAGCTGTCGCCAGCCCACGTGCTTGCTGTGAGCCTGGGGTGCCAGCATCTGCCGCCACACCATGGGTTACGCTTGCATGCGTGGAGCACTGTGCCTCTGCTAAGAGATGAACCTGTTGCTGACATCGCGGGGCTTGGCATCTCGGTCTAGATAATGGCCAAAACAGTGTGGTTCTACTGTGGGTTATCCTACAAATACGTACCATAGGCCAAATTGTGCTGTGTCATATCATACCGGGGCCTCAGATTCGTTTTGGGCCACACTTTCTCTTCAGTGTTGGTCCTTGGAAAAAAACTTTCTGTCAGGGTCCTCCGAAAAAAACAAGAGGCGACAAAGTCGTCGTAGGGTTGCGAAGCAATTGTCATAAACGGCTTATGTTATTCAACTTCTAATATTAAATATGGATTGTGTGTTACATGATTATCTATCTTACTGTGCACAACACTTAAACCAAACATGAACCTCAACATCTTTGGTTGAGGTTTGCAAAACCGCCACAAGCAAGATTCAAACCTGCCACCTCTCGCTTCCGAAAACCACTCTATGTCAAAATGAAGAATGGATGATGCATTGATGTTGGTTGGGGTACATATAGCTAACCCTAAGTTTTGTACCCCCTAAGACAAACCTCACTATAGGCTACAACATTTGACACACCCCCATAGCCTAAGTGAGGGGTGTCTAGCAGAACCAAACGAGTACGGTCACAAGACCAGTCCAAGAAACAAAGCTCAGGGTGGATCACAACGTCACCACACAGTCTGAGCACAAACAACAGTGGCCACAAGGCCAGTCCAAGAAGTAACAGAGATATATAGAAAGCAAAGTAAACAGTACACTCAAGTCTAAGCAACACGAGAACCAGTGTCAACAAGGCCTAACTGCACACAGCACCTCTGGTGGTCACAAGGCGGAAGCGCCTTGGTGAAGATGTCTGCAGTGTTGGCCTCTGACTCCACAAACTCAAAGCGAGCCTGTCCACGCCTCTGCAACTCTCGCAGAAGAAAGTACCTGACGTGAATGTGCTTCACTCTGCTCTCCAGTCGTGGCTCTCGACAAAGGAGAATAGACGCCTTGTTGTCAGTGAACAAGGTCGGTGCAGAGCTCGGCCGCTCACCAAGGTCGGTGAGCAAGAAGGTCAACCAACGCAGCTCCTGTGCCGCCATGGCACCAGCGTAGATCTCAGCCTCAGCTGTAGAGGTCGAGACCGAAGAGGAGCGCGTGGACCGCCAGGAAACAGCTCCAGAACCCAGGCTGAAACAGTACCCCTGAGTAGACCTGTGAGTCTCAGCGTCGTCAGCGTAAGAGGAGTCACAGTGACCAGTAAGTACGACAGACTGCTGTCCTCCAAGAACTAGCCCCATGCCTGATGTCGTCGCTAGGTACTTCGCCACCCTCACAGCTGCTGTCCAGTGAACAGGACGGTGTCTCCCTGGCGCAACAAAGCGCGCAAGAACGCTGAGAGGGAAGGCGAGGTCCGGGCGAGTACAAGTCATCAGGTACATGAGGCAACCCACAAGCTCTGCGTAGGGACCACTAGGCTCGAACGGCTCGTCAGGAAAGGGTCCAGTGAGTCTGTGGTCAACAGCAAGAGGTGTGCGCTGTACTGTGGAGTGCTGAAGCCCGAACCGCTGAAGGACCTGCTGCACCATGTGCGACTGTGAAAGTGTAATGGTGCGAGCAGCTCTGTCCCTGGTGATCTGCAGGCCAAGGTAGTGGCGCAGCTCACCAAGATCAGTGCAGGTGTGTCTCTTCTGCAGTTCGGACTTCACGTGTGCCAAAGCAACCCTGTCAGGGGTGGCGAAAACAAGGTCGTCAACGTAGACCAGAACAAAGAAAGGTGTGGAGCCACGACGAACGAACAGCGACGGGTCAGCAGAAGACGGCTGGAACCCAAGGTCAGACAGGGTAGAACGCAGGGTGTCGTGCCACTCACGAGGAGCCTGACGAAGACCGTAAACCGGTCGCCTCAGCCTCCACTGGGTCCCAGGAGGGAAAGAGCCAGTGAAGGCAGAGGGACGACGCAACCAGACCTCCTCGTGAAGACTGCCCTGAAGGAAAGCAGTAGAGAAGTCGAGAGAGTGTAACTCGTAGTCTCTCTGTGCTGCTACGTGTAGTAACACCCGAAGAGTGGTCATCTTCGGGGTGGGCGCGAAGGTCTGAAAGAAGTCAACTCCCTCGCGCTGACTGAAACCTCTAGCCACGTAGCGCGCCTTGAAGACCGGAGGAGATCCCGGTGGCCGCTTCACCCTGTAGATCCACATGCCGTCGACTACGTTCGCCCCCGGAGGGGGAACCTCATCGACGTAGGTGCCTGTGGATCTGTAGGAGGCCATCTCTGCGTCCATGGCAGCTCTCCACTGAGAGGCCCAAGGCCCTGACACTGCCTCAGCGTAAGTGCGAGGAGTCGGAATGTCAAGGGCGTCGGGGTCACCCTCAGGGGCGAGGAGCATGGCACAGAGATGAGGGGAAGCGGCCGCCAGGAACTCTAGCTCAAACTGCCTGTCCTCTAGGGCGTCACTGCCAAGGGCAGACACACCCCCGACGGCCAGAGGACTGGAAGGAGGAGCAGCCACAAGAGCGGTGGCGAAGTCAAGGCGGCGGGTAGAGGCAAACTCAGTGACTGCGGCAGTAAGAGCGGACACAGAGGACACAGAGGCACGAGGGTGGGTAACAAGAGAGGCGAGAACACGAGAGAGAACAGGACGGTACGTGCGGTAGTAGTCAGTGACAGGAGAAGGAAGCGACACAGTGAGGGCCGACTCAGGAGGAGACGGAAGCACAGACGGAGACGGACGAGGTGGACGAGAACAAAGGAAGGCTGTACGAAGGTCAGTGAAGGGAACAGGAGACGAGGGACGAGCACGAGGGGAGCGACGAGAGGCCCAAGTCTGAGAAGGAGGAGGAGACAACGAAGACTGAGAACGAGGGAAAACAGCGGGAGAGGGGTCAGGAGGAGGAAGCGGAGGACCAGAGACGGGAGGAGAGGGGGAGGAGGAAGGAGAGGGAGACGGGAGACCAAGGGTCCGAAGACCCGAGACAGGAGGAGGAGACGGCAGCAGCTGCTGCTGCTGCTGCGGCTGCTGCGGCTGCTGCTGGCTCAGCTGCTGCCCCTGCTGCTGCTCCTGCTGCTGCTCCTGCTGCTGTCGCTCCTGCTCCTCGAGCCGCTGCAACTCTCTCTCCAACTCTCTCTCCTCTCTCTCCAACTCCAGCTGCTCCTCACGAGCACGGCGAACACGAGCCTGGAACCTGGTCGGGTAGGGGTGGGGGGAAGGAGTAGTGTCCGGGGCAGCGGCAGCCCCAGAGTCGACCTCCGAAGCACCAAGTACACCACCCCCAGAGGCAGCACCAACACCAGCTCCAGACCCAGGCTCTCCAGAAACCGAAGGGACACCCTCACCCCCAGACGCAGCACCCCCAGACTCCGCACCAGCACCCCCAGACTCCGCACGACCAGTACCAGCCCCCGGAAGACAAGAGTCCTCTGCAACCCGCGGCTCAGCTCCAACTCCAGCACCCCCAGAACCAGAGACCTGTACAGGGACAGTCGCAGGACCAACCTCTCGAGAGGGAGCACCTGCAGGAGGCGGCGAGGAAGACTGTGGGGAGGGAGGCTGTACAGGGGGGGCTACCGAAGGGGGAGGGCTAGCCTGAGACACACCAGACGGGGCTGGACCAGGGGGGGGAGGCTGTACCGGGGGAGCAGGCGGGGGAGCGGCGGTCAGGAAGAGAGGGGGGGTGGTGACCGGGAGACCCCGACTGGGTACCTGACGTAGTAGGGGGTGGACTCCTCGAAACGGACGTCACGAGAGTCAAAGAACCGGTGAGAGGGAGGGTGGTAAAAGGTGAAGTCAGAGGAGTCCTCAGGGAAACCAAGGAAGACACAAGGAACGGCGCGAGGCGAGAGCTTGTCCGCGGAGGTGTCGCGGACAAGAGCCAAGCACCCCCAGACACGAAACCTCGACGCGACACCAGGGGACCCTGTCCAAAGACTGGTCGGTGAAGCCTCCGGCCGAGAGACGCGTGGCCAGAGGTTCAGCTGGTGCGCGGCGTACCTGACCGCGTATGGCCACAGGAAATGGGGGGCACGGGCGTGAGTCAAGGAGGTGCGGGCAATCTCCATGACCAGGCCTATGCGACGCTCAGCAACCCCATTCTGCTGTGGGGACTCCGGAAGCGTCCAGGACTGACGAATGCCCTGTTCGCGACAGAATCCAGCGAGAATGCCGGAGCGAAACTCGCCCCCGCGGTCGGAGTGGAGACAGCTGACACGACGACCACGAGTGTCCTGGGTGGTAAGCAACCACCTGATCAGCGTAGAAGTCACCTCAGACTTCTTCGCTAGGGGGAACACTGTGGTGTAGCGGGAGTAGTCGTCAACGACCACCAAAAAGAAACGCTCACGCTCAGGGCCAGGGCGAGGAGAGGGGCCCCAGACGTCCAAGTGCAGCGTCTCAAAAGGCTCGGTGGCCGGACGAAGGGAGGAGGAGTGAGGGGTGGCGCGCAGCCTACCCTCGACGCAAGGACCGCACGGTGGTGCAAGGGACGGCGGCAGCGACGGCAAGACACGCGGGAGACCTAAGACAAGACGCTGACGAGACATAGCGCGAAGACGAGGAGGAGAAGGGTGCCCCAGCCGGTGGTGCCACAAAACGGTGGGGTGGGCAAGCGACCGACAGGAGCACGACGCAGCGACCGGACTAGACGGAGGAACCTGACAAGACACAGCTACCTGGGGGGACGGAGCAACCTGGTGAGACGCGAG